ACCCTGAGGGAGGAGCTGGTGTGAGAAGTGAAAGGGGAAGGGAAAAACGTTGTGGGTGGAAAAATTAGGGTGGAGGCTCCAGCTATCTGTGGGGCTATTTATTTGTCCAGCTGTTTCTTTATCTGGATGAGTTTGGAGCCTGTGAATGTAAAGGATTTGCCAGGACTTCTGAGAACCTTGGGGCCAGATGCTCTAAATTGGTCTAAATTGGCAAAACTCCATGGAAGTTATTTTTCCGGACACGGAGAAGTGTGTCTGCAATGCGCACACAGCTCCTCTGTTAATCCCTTGCCCCTCCAGCCTCTCTGCCACTGTCCCTTGGTCCTGTCACTCTCCATCCCCAGTCCTGGCCATCCCGTGCTGGTGTCCTCAATCACTGCCAGCACCCAGCATCACCCCAGTCTTGGCCTCCCCTCTCAGTCCTGACCTAGCCAGAAGGAAAAGCTGGTGTAGCTGAGATGCCCACACTCATCTCACTTGTGGCTAAGCAGCAAGAAGACCATGCAGAAGCACAGGAGCCCCCCACCCAGGCCACTGGCATAGTGGATCATCAGCTTGACGGCATCTTAATGTACCTGTTGAGCGTCTGGAGGTGGTGGTATGGTGGTGATGACACATCTTTAGATGCAGAGTGCTCGAGCTGGAGCCCTGGCATGCCCTCGTAGCAAGCAGCGGTGCCAGTGATGGGCCCCAGCGCTGGCAGAAAGTTGCTTATTGAAAGCATCTTCAAAGTGAAAAGGACAGGCACTTATCTCCTAACTGTCCCGTGGGGAGCAGCGCTGTTTCTGGTGGGAAGCAGGCCAGAGTTGCGTCTGCTGGTTTCGAGCAGCTGCAGATTTATTTATAATGCCGTGGGTAGCATGTGAATCTGAAGATAAACACGCAGGAGGGAAGAACACAAACAACAATATTGAGAAAATGCTGCTCCAGAGAGAGCATTTCACTGAGCTGCAGCTATCACCAGCCACCAGAAATGGGCCAGGGGCCAGACACCCACCCCTGCTGCTCCCACGCGGCTTTGCTGCGTGTTGTCACCATCATTGCCGGGGGCTGCTCTGTCCTGGATGCCAGGGGGGTCTTTATGGGACTGCCGAGGCACCGGCCCCTCGCCCTGTTATTTGGCTCTGCCAAACTGGCAGGATGGCACCGTGAAAGTGTTGGCTGTGACAGCGAGTGAAGCTGACAAGTTTGCTGGTTGAAGGAGGCACCTTCTCTCCATGGTTGGCAGGGCACTAACCAGTTGGGCTTGGGGTTGCCCATCCAGAAGTTGGTCTGTCTTTGTTGTCCCCAGCCGAGGAATTGGTCCTTTTGGGTGCCTGCAGCAGGGTATGAGCATGGGGCAGCCCACAGGTAGGATCAGGAGGCGTGCTGGGTGAGACGTGGCCATGGCAGCCCACCACGGGTCCCTGTGAGCATAGAAGGGCAGCCCTGTTGGCACTGCTATGGGTGGAGGAACTTCCTCTGGATGATGGTTGGTTCCCATACCTTGGGGCTTATCACACCTCATTTGGGGCTTGACCTGTAGCAGAACTCTGTATGACTGATGCCTTGGTGCCTAGACTCACCCATCCACTCAGACATGTCCATCTCTAAGCAGATGTATCTCCTTGGTTATCATACTTGATGGCTGGAAGGAACGAAGGTGACCTCCTGCCCAGTGTGTGCTCCTGCAACACGTGCTTCTCCAGCTCCTGGCTCACCTGGGATGGGGGAGGATGCAAACAGTGCAAGATCTGCATCTCTTGGCAATTACTCTCCAGGGGTGATTACCTTCCCTGGTAAAATTGAATCTTGTTTTCTATTGTGTCTTACTGGTGTCAGCTCCCAGGCAAAGCTGTAGCTGCAATTTGCCTCACGGGCTACAGAGCTGCTACTTTCTCCCTATGTAGATCCTTGCAGACCACAATCAATCAACTTGCAAACTTTTTCATGAGCTTATGCAGTCCCCCTACAGCAATAAAACCCCATCCAGTTGGAGGAATAGAACCCGGGGGAATTTCAGCCTTTTTCTTGCACTGCTGAGGTGGGTGGTAAGGCCTTGTCTTGCTTTCTTAAACCTTCCTGGTTTATTGGTTGCTACTTAGGACTCTGTGCCAGCACCTTCAGGATGAGATGACAGAACACGGCTTGGCTGCGTCTTCATGGGGCCTTCCTCCCACCGCAGCATGCCCACCACTGCCTCTTGCTGTGGAGGTCTGAGCAGGTCTGAGCCTGGGAAAGAGGCAGAGAAACAGCCAGCCCTGCAGATGAGGGATATGTTGATTCATCGGACATCGCTCCTGATTTTGTTTGCTGGAGAAATGAATTAATGTGCTTCCTTTGGAAGTTAGAAACTTCTCAGGGATGAGACAGTGAACTTCCCTGCAGGACCACATGGCCTCCTTGACCTCAGGTGGATGGTGAGGGGCTCTCCTGGCCAGGTATACGGGCAAGATAACTGTGGCAGGCTGTTATTTGGGCAATAAGTTGATCGAGTAAACCCACCACCACCACCACTGAAACCCATCTAGGCTTCACATCCACTTTCGCAGTCGGTGTGGGTAACCAGGTTCGCTCTCATTCATGGGGCCCACTTACTCAAAATTTTCTCTCATTCAGGCAACTACTGCTAAGCGCTAACATGCCAACCCATCTCCAAATGTACTTCAAACAGGGCAGCAAATTGGTAGAAAAGCTGTGCAAAAAGGGGCCCAAAAGGATGTCACAGCTGTGTGCAATGGGGACCACAGTCTTGGGGCCCACCCCACACAAAGAAGGTTGATAAACAGGAGCCTCAAAGAAAGAAGCCTGTTTTAGGGTGGAAGAATAAGGAAGCTCAGCTAATTTAGTTATCTTGGAGACGATTCATTTCATAGAATCATAGAATCATTTGCCACCTTTAAGCACCACAAGAGGGAAAGAAGGTTTTGGATAGCAGCATCTTTGCACAAGTAAAAGGAAATCTAATAGCTGGTAGCTGAACAGTGTAAATTCAGACTAAAATTAATGGAAGATCTTTTTTTATGAGAAGATAATTGACCATTGGAAAAAAAACTGCTTAAAACCTGCAAATTTCTACACCTCCCGAGATGTCCTTCACAGAATCACAGAACGGACAGGGTTGGAAAGGACATCTGGAGATCATCTAGTCCAACCCCCCTGCCCAAGCAGGGTCACCGCCTTCTTGGGCCAGCTGAGGTGGACGCACAGCTCCAAGGAGACGGGCAATTCTGCAGCTGAGAATAAGGGGCAGCGGCAAGGGCTGTGGGCAGCATGCTCTGCAGTAATGCAGCGGGCATGACATTTCCATTGCACTGAATTTTCCTTAAATAAAAGGCTTTTAAAAATGCAAAATGCTTCGAAATAGTATTTTTATTTGGGGAATTATTTATACTGGTTTAGAGCATATCTTCTTTTACATTATAGTCACTGCTATTAATATACTTACTATGCACCACTGTCATTGATAGTTAAGATAAAATAACATTTAAGGGTTTTTTAAAGTAATGCAGCTTCTAGCTAGCACTGGGTGAAAAATGTTGTTTTCCTTTTAGATCAAAGTGCCACTGGTGTTTTAATGAAAAAGCCAGATACTCTGATAAAATAAACACTATTATTGAACTATGTAAACAAATATTAAGTTTAAAAAGAAATTTCATAAATCTGAATGACAACATTTCTGGACTAGCTGTTTTCCAGAACTCTTCCTAGTGGGAAAATTTGAAAAAGAATTATTTTTGCTTTTTACTCTTGGAATAAAACCAAATTTTGAAATCCTGGTTTCCTGTGAACTGGAAACCGCTGGCTCTAACCAGGAGTAATGAACAACCCACAGTCTGAAAATGATTTACTGGCAGAAGTAGGTGCAAGGAGCATATCTGTGCCGAGGCACTTTTTGGCTTGCTGATGGGAAAAGGGGAGTTCATGTGCACTGCTGGGCAGGCTGAGCAACAGCCATTTCTGCATCCACGCTCAGCTCTTAAAGGATGGGTCTGCTCAAGGTTGAGCTTTTCTTCCTTCGTTGTTGTTCAACACAGCGAAAGTGGAGAAGGTGGAGATGATTCATTGCAGGACGATTGGTTTTTTGGTGGTGAGGAGCAACAACAGGACACTCTCCATCCCTGTTGTGGCCATGGGAACTGGCACCATTTGTTGGGTTATAGGATGGTGGCTGGAGGTCTTGACTATATTGGTTGAGCAGTTGTCCACTGTATTTCTGATGGAGCCATCTGGCCCGTTCCCATGCTGGATGGGGAACACCTACACACATTAGCCCAACTATTGGGGGACCATAAGCTGAGCATCCCTTCTCATGCCATTAGTGTGGTGTGGTTAGGCCAACCCATTAACTATTTGGGGTGGAAAAAGACTTCAGCGCCAGAAGCGTGATGAGTTGTAGAAAGCACAAGGAGGCTTTGCTGCCCATGTGGCTTAGGGAGACTTCTCTGTGCTGATCAGCAGTAGCATCGCCTGACCTATTTCAATCCAAATCGCCTGGAAAACCAGCTTTAACGTTGGTTTAATTTTTTAGTACTTTTAAGTCCTAAAAGTGCTGTTCCTTCCTGTGTGCTACCACATCGCCACAGGATTCTGCCTACCATGCAGAACGCTGAGGAAAAAATATCCCACTTTTGCAAGAGAAACTGCAAGTTGATGGAGGAAACTCACTCAGGCTGGGCTCCTCATCTGCCACAGCAGAGCTTCTCTGGGGCTGTGGTACCCTTATCCTGCATTTTGAGGAGTAAAGCCAGCTGGCTGGTGGGTGGAAGAGTACATCCCCCTATGCATTGCAGGAGATGAGGGGCAAGGGAGCAGCGGGCCACGGATGGGGAAGCAAATGGGTGGAGGGACAGATGCTGGGCTCCTCCCTGGCTGAGAGCTGGCCAGAGGGCTTGGCACAGGCTGGGCTCGATGGCTGCAGTCCTGGGCTGGCTCTTCTCCACCTCTTTCCCCTTTGCCAGCCTCAGGCCATTCACTAAATGGCCACTGACTCCCTGTTTCACCTTCCTTCTGCAGAGACACTGATGGACTCCACAACGGCAACGGCAGAGCTGGGCTGGACAGTGCATCCTCCTTCAGGGGTAAGTTGTCCTGGAGCTCAGTCTGGGGTCACCTGCTGCACGTGAACGTAGGTGCAATGGCTCAATAAAAGTCACCTGCTGCAGCAAAGTGCCTTGGCTGTGTGAAAAGATCTAGTGGGAAGAGCAGTAAAGAGGATGACAGTTGAGATTTCCAGTAGTTTTCTAGGAGGTGACGATTCAAAAAACTACCCCAGTGCTGGAGGAGTGTAATTCTTACCCTACAGCATCAGGCCAACATGAGGTTGGAGGAATCGTACTCTTTGTAAAGCTGGCCTGCAGCCAGTTAAAAACCACAGAGACAGAGAAGTGAAATGCCAAGGCCACTATCATTAGTCCCCAGTAGCACTTGTTATCCCATGGCCTGGTATTTGTAGCAGAAAAGGATGAGGGCATTGGCCTGTGAGGTTGCACCCACAACAGCCATTTGATCAAGTCCTGAAATGACTGTCCATCATCCCTGACATCTCCTGGAGGGACATTTGCTGGCTCAGCAGTTACTATCTCTCCACTTTACGGGTGCCAGGCGTCCCCTGAGCCACATCCCAAGACCACCCAGAACAAGCTGCTTTAAAGAAAAGCCTGGACAAGGCAATGCATCTCTGCACTCTTCCACTCAGGACACAAAACCAGAGCGGCCCTAGCTGCCTCTGTGTCCCACGGGGTTTACGTGGGGCTTCAAGGTGCTTCAGAGCATCCCGCCCTGCTCTGGCTGCGGTGGCTGATGTGAAGCCCCAGAGCCCAACACCCCCAACATGCTCCCTTTGGCTCAGGTGTCCCAGTCCAGCCCGGCCAAAGCCTGGAGATGTGTCCCACCCCCATGCGCAGAGAGGGTAGCTCAGGCTCCATCCTGTCCTCCACCCACCCTCCACCGGGGCTGGATGAAGATGTTTCTGTGGACCTTACCCTGGGGCTGACAGCAAGCCCCCTCCCTGAGCTGACTTGGCAGAAGAAAAGAAACGGCCAAGAAAAGCCGCCGTCGGGGAGATTAAACCCGGCTCCTGAGCAGCACAGCCGCCCTGCTGCGCTGGGGCGCGGGTGCTGCCGGCACCGGTCCCCCATCACCATAATAAAGCCCCGTGCCCGCCCGCGAGCCCGGCCGCCCCGCCAGCACTGGCCCAGCCGCCGAAGAAGGATGACGGGCTCACAATAGGCGGGAGCAGAGGTCAAGTCTTTTTCTCTCCTCGCCCAGCCTTTCTTGTTTGCGGTGTTTCCATATGTAAAGCACGCCTTGCTCCCGGCTCCCCAGCCCCGCGGTAATGAGGCCTGGGCCTGCTGGAAGCCGTCTCCCTGTATTATTGTGCTGCCTTCTTCTTTTGAGCTCCCGGCATGTTAATTAGAGAGCGAGGAGAAAGGGAGAGGCTTCTAATTAAGCGTTGAGGAAGCTCAGGGGCTGTTGCATGGGGGTGACTTTCTCTCCCAGCTGAGAAAAGGGAGCTCAAGAGCCCCCTGCTCACTGCTGTAGGAACGCAAGAGGATGCTGGGGGTCCTCATCCTGGTCCCCAGCATGCTCCCACATCCCCCGTCCCCAGTGGGATGGAGATGCCCATCTGGGAAGTCCAGCACAGTCCCGATGTTGCTGGTGGGATCACCTCCTGTCCTCATCTCCAGGCAGGACCATGGGGGGCATGTGGCGCATGTCGTGCCCTGCATCATAGATGCTGATGCTGTGGCACCTTCATGGCTTCTCCCAGTGCGGCCTGGTGCCCACTGGCAGGACAAGGCAGGACATCCTACCCATGGGTGGCTGGCAAGGTTGGGCGCAGCCAGCATCACCTGGAAGACAAAAGCTACTGGGTGCTTCTCCTGTTTGTTGCCTCTTTGGGGAGCTGAAAGCCCAAACAGTTGCTTCTCCCCTGGCTGGGGAGATCCCACATCACTCATAGGTGTCCCCGTGTCCTGCCTCCACTGTCTGCCGTTCATCCCCAAGCTGGAGTCTCCTTCCACCATGTGTTGCTCCTGCCTGGCCAGGCTGAGCTCTTCAGGCTTGTGTCCTGAGCCCTTCCTGGGGGCCATGCAGGTGTGGATGGGGATGCACTGGGCACCCTGGGTCTTGGTGGCTGACATGGTGTTGTTGAGTCGGGGTCAGGAGTGCTCCAGGTGAGGGAGAGCCACGTCAGAGGCAGGGCAGGGGAAGGAACTGCTTCCCTGTGCCTTGTCCTTGATTCCTTCACCCCCCTCCCAACTGCTGACCTAAAAATTGGGGAAGTCCTGCAATCTTCCACTACCAGACCAAATTTATTTCTGGAAAATAAAGCAAACGCTCCCCCTGCGTTTTGCAAGGATGCTCTCCTCCTCCCCCAGTGATGGCAGCAGATTTGCAGCCACTGCCAATCAGAAGTGGTTGGAGCTGTTGGGGGATCTTCCCTGACAGCCTTCTGTTGGGTTGTTAGCCTTGATGTGTGAGGAGCAATCTGTCTCCCATCTCGTGAGCCGCCCTCGGCAGTCCTGGATGCCCTTGTGAGGCCGTTTGCAGGCTGAGGGGCTGGGGCTGCTCTGCCTCTGCAGCGTTTTCCCTGCGGACCTCGGTCCTGGCACTGGTGCTGGATTCGGACTGTGCTGTCGCCCTGCCCCGGGTGTTGTGGTCCCTCATCCAGGGCAAGGTTGTGCTCAGGGTTTCACATCCATGGAATGGATGAAAACCTGCTCGGCTTCCACTTGAGCAGGTTTATGAACAAGTTCATGAGAAGCCGTTCCAGCTGTCTGGGGCTGTGTCATGCGCTAGCTGGACCCTGGCTCCTACTGCCAGCATCATGAGGGTGCTGCGGGTGGGGAGGGAGCAGCACAGGGAGATGCTCTGCCCTCCAGAAAGTTCTGGTCTGGGGGAGATGCTCTCATGAGCTGGGTGAGAGGTTCTCCTCCCACAAGGACCCTTTCCCGTCTGTGCTCACTGCAGAGGAGTGGTGGCTGGTTTTAGGCTGCGGCTCTGCCTTTGGCTGGTACTGAAGTCTCCCCATACTATAAAGGGTGGAGACAACAAGCACTGAAGGGTTTGGAAAAAAAAGCCTGGGGAGAGGGCAGGGAGCTGGACAGGGCCAGGAGGTGTCACAGAAGCCCCCAGCTCAGCAGAGGCTCCTCCAGAGCTGGCAGTCAGCTGTTAGTCAGCTGGAGGGGAGCTGGGCTGAGCTTCCCCTGGGGAAATATGTCAGCTCCAAGCTGTCTTGCTGAGAAGGATGTTACTGTTGTGCCATGGCTCGTAAGACATCCCATAGATCCAGTTTAGGACATCTGGGGCTGGGACCTGCACACACCTGCAGGAGGGACCCCAAAACATGTTGGCCCTGGAAGGGGAAGGGATGAGGGCTACCAGCAGGATCTAGGCTAGCGTCTCCCTTTCTTGGGTACACAGTGGGGTCAGCCAGGCTCTTATAAACCTTCTCTCCTACCTCTGGGGAGAGGCTGCTGGCTACTGGCTCGTCGCACAGCCAGCCGCCCGCACCAGTGCTGGGGCTGCAGCCGGCGAGGAGGTTTTATGGCTGCGTTACGCGCTGCTGAGGAAGCGGGTCCTGTCTGCCACGTCTGTAACCGTAGTGGCACCGGTGGGAACACATCTGCTAAAGGCATCGTGTTACTTTGCTGGGAGGCTCTGCCGTACAGTGCAGCCCATGGGCAGGAGCCCCTGCTAAAGACATTACTGCCTGCAGCTCCTCCTGCCACCCAGCAGAGATGCTTTACCATAAATTGGGGCACAGAGCATGGTGCTGCTGGCAGCCAGCTGGCCTCGAGCTCTGCTGAGGGCTTGGGCCACCTTGTCCCCATGGAGTGGAGCCTGCCCAGCATGCAGGGTGGATCAAACCCTGCTGAAGCAGGATGAAGGCATGTAGGGACAGGGTGGTTGCAGGGGGCTGCTGGAGCTGTGCCGGGGCGAGGTGCTGGGCACCGATGGGGCTGCTTGTGTGATGGGGTGGGCACGGCATGGGGCAGCTGGTACCAGGACAGCCTGCCCTCTTGGCACGTGGTGGGGTTGGGAAGAGGTGACATGGGTGGGGAACATCAGTTCAGTGCAGCCCCTTCACTTTCTGTTTCCTGTCTGCAGTGGGAAGAGGTGAGCGGGTACGACGAGAACATGAACACGATTCGCACCTACCAGGTGTGCAACGTCTTTGAATCCAGCCAAAACAACTGGCTCCGGACCAAGTACATCCGGAGGCGAGGAGCGCACCGCATCCACGTGGAGATGAAATTTTCTGTCCGGGACTGCAGCAGCATCCCTAATGTACCAGGCTCCTGTAAGGAGACTTTTAACCTTTACTATTTTGAGTCAGACTTTGACTCGGCCACCAAGGCTTTTCCTAACTGGATGGAGAATCCTTGGATGAAGGTGGACACAATTGCTGCTGATGAGAGTTTCTCGCAAGTGGACCTAGGTGGACGGGTGATGAAGATAAACACTGAGGTGCGCAGTTTTGGGCCTGTGTCCAAGAATGGTTTCTACCTGGCCTTCCAGGACTACGGAGGCTGCATGTCCTTGATTGCCGTCCGCGTCTTCTACCGCAAGTGTCCCCGTGTGATCCAGAATGGCGCCGTCTTCCAAGAAACCCTCTCGGGAGCAGAGAGCACCTCTCTGGTGGCAGCCCGGGGGACGTGCATCACCAACGCGGAGGAGGTGGACGTGCCGATCAAGCTGTACTGCAATGGGGATGGCGAGTGGCTGGTGCCTATTGGCCGCTGCATGTGCAGGGCGGGCTACGAGTCGGTGGAAAACGGGACCGTCTGCAGAGGTAACCACTTGCCTTCGGTCTTGCTCCATGCGCTTGCCTCGCTGCCGGTGGCCTGTGCCAGTGGTGGCAGTCGGGATTTGCAGCACGAGTCGCCTGGGAGAGACCTCCTTGGGTGGGGGTGGGAGAGGAGCACACGGGGACCTGGAAGAGGAGCGCGTGGGGACCTGGGAGAGGAGCATGTGTGTCAACGCTCATGCCTTCACCAGCTCCTCAGCTCCTGCCCCGGGCTCATCCATCCATTGCAGAGGCGCTGTGTTACCTCAGACCACTAGGTCCAGCGGTGCTGGCCTGTTGCTGGTGCCCTTTGTGCTCTTCAGGTCTTGGAGGGGCACATGTGTGTGTAACCATGGTGCGTGCCACTGATCTGCAGTCATCTCCCAAAATACTGGGGCTGTTTCCACTTTGGTTTGTGCCCTATGCCTTGACGTGGGCTGAAATGCTTCTGGGGTGAGGGGAGCGGGAGTGCAGCCACCCAAAGGTGATGCGGTGGGAGGGAGCAAGTTGTCTGCATAATTTTCCTGGTGAGGTGCAAATGGCCCAGGGTGGGACATGGTCACGGGCTGTTCAGGGCCAGGATGACATCTCCAGCCTGGGCACCTCTGAGCCTGGCCCCTGAGCTTCCTCAGCAGCCAGGGTTCTCCTGCCCTGTAGATGTTCTCCTGCCTTGTAGATGTTCAAAACAGACTCCAGGAACCCCTGCTCACCTCAGCTGAGCACCATGGAGCGAGCATGCTCCCAGATGAGTGAGAGGCTCTGCACCACCCTTGCCGAAAGCACCATGCCCAAACACATCTCCATGCCCTCCCCAGTCACACGTGGGCTTGGGGAGGGAGAGAAAGGAGCTGCTGCGCTTATTGGGAGAGAGATGGGGACCCGAGCGCTGCATGTTTAATGGGCACCTGTGGCTGTATTATGCGCAGAGCAAATTATGGCATTTGGCAAACAGCCTGTTGTCCCCCCTGTCCTGGCTGGATGTCAAAATCCCATTACACTTTCGATAGCATCAGCAGAGCTGGGGTTTCTCTTTAGATCAATTATAGATATGTGGGTGGGCATTGAAGAGCGGAAGGAAGGAGAGGTCTCCTCTCTTCTTGCTGTGGGAAGGGGTGGCCTAGTAGGACTGAGCAAGCATGAGGAAGGTGCAAGCATGAGGAAGGAGCAAACATGAGGAGATGGACACACAAGAGAGGGGGATGGCCAGTCTCTGACCGTGCTCAGTTGGGACTGCAGGTTGGATAGTCCCCTTGGAGAGGGCACCGCGTCTTTTGCTGGTGGCTGGGCTGCTCACACGTCAAGCATCCTGATGTGCTGAGGGTGTTATTTAATATCTGTGCTTTGAGCTACTCCTTCCTGAGCCATGGAACATCTCTTCCCACTGAGCTCGGGGTGATCAAGTCTCCTCCAGCTGTAGCAGGGACGGTGCTGGGGACGGGGACAGCATTGAAGTACTGCTGCAAGACGGTACGGAGGGGGAGCCTGGCTAATCCCAGCCTCGAAGGGAAGACGGGTGTTTTACGACGCCCAAGTGAAGCGTTCATAGCAACACAAGAAAGCCAAAATGATTCATGTCAGCTTTTCCATCTCAGCCTTTTTTTTTTTTTTTTCCTCCTCAGCAGACCCAGCCCTGCCCAGTGCTTTGCTGTGATGCAGATACGGTATCGTGGTGTCGCGGGGCTCCCAGTCCTGCTGCCCGGCCAAGGGACAGTGACTTTGCGTGCCCTGGGGCTCCCAGGACTCCTTATGCAGAGCCCTGTCCCTCCAGCCTGGCCCGGTGGGGCTGGGAGGGGAGGCAGAGCGGGCAGGAGGGAGAGGCCGAGTCTCCTCTTTGTCTGCGTAGCAGCAGGATTTTGGGAGGTCCGGTACCTCAGCAGCTGTTTCTCCAGCCGGTGCTGGCGTGCACCCGGCCCTGCGCTCCCCACCATCATTAATCATGCAGTGGCCGGCAGCCCACCGTCTCTGTGGGGCAGCTGGCCTTCCCCTTCCCCTTCCCCTTCCCCCTCCCCTTCCCCTTCCCATGTGGGGCTGTGTAGTCACAGCTGGATGGACCCCAGGGTTGTGCCAGACTGGGACACACTCTCTGGTTTCCCCCAGCAGCCCCCAGAAGAAGAGTGGGGACTGAGAGGAGAGTCAGCCACGAAGTTGGCAGGACAGCCATGGCATCCCCATCCCCTCCCAGCCCCCCCAGTGACCCCCACAGAGGATTGGGGAAGGGGCTGGTCACCCTGATTCGGTCAGGCAGAGAAAGGGCTCTCCTCCCCAATTCAGTTCAGGAAGGATGTGCAGGTTGCATCCCTGCCCATCTCCCATCACATCCTCGCTCCTGGTCCCCTCAGAGGCAGCGTATGAGCCTCCTGGTTTGGGGAACTTGCTCATACATGTGGCCGGCAGGTTTTCTTGTGTTTCGAGGAGTGGGAGGGAATCTGGGCCCCTTTCCAGACGCAAAACAAAAGCAAATCCGAGTTGGCGTTCGGGGCGAAGTGCTCTCACACGGCTCGGTCGCCCAAGTGGGACGTGGCGGAGAACGTGGGGGACGTGGCCCCACCAAGGGGTCCTGGTGGAAAAGGGCATCCCAAGCAATGGACGCCCCCCCGGTGCAGCTGCAAGATGCTTGAAGGAGTTGCTTATTTTCTCCACTGGGCTTTTCATCTGGCTACTACAGTGCAAGCCTGCTCACGGCAGTGTACACAAGGGATATTTATGGAGGAAGTTCATGCATCTAACAGCTTAAGCCCTTCTAAGCTTGCTACCCTAACACAAAAGGATTTGGGGGCAGTTAACAATTCTGTGTGGTTAAGAGATTTTCATTTTGCTGGGCCTTGCTCGCCAATCCCGCAGGGCCCTGTGAGGGGCTGGCTGCCCATTCCTCTGTGCTCCGTTCCTCCGCTCGCTTCCCGGCTCCTTTCCGCCGCGCCGGCCAGCGTCTCCCCACACGCGCCTCCCCGCGCCGCCTCCCACCAGCCCCATATGCCCAGCCCCGTCCTCCCCGCTTCACCTCCTGCTCCCTGCCTGCGTCTTTTTTCTCCATCTCCCTGTTCTTTGTCTGCCGCCTCCCCCCTTCTCCCCCGCCTGTCCCTCCCATGCAGCATATTAAGCGCATTTCTCTCTCTGCCTCCCTTATTCATTGGCTCGCCTCTGCAACGGCGGAGGCCGAGCTATTGTGCTGCCTGCTCTCCCTGTTTGGACTGGACAGTCGACGAATGCTGCCTGCAAGGGTCTCTGCCTGCTCAGGGATGGCAGCCGCTGGCTGCTGGTCCTAGCTCTCGAACCCTGCATCCATCCCCAGCTCCTCTCCAGCTTTGGAGGACATCTGCCCATGTGTCTGATCATGGCATTCACAGCGGGCAGCCTCCTCTCTATTGCACTCGTACAGCGCCAAGCATGGGGAGTCCTGGTCTTGCCATGGTAACAAGGGATGGTTTTGCCCTGCAGAAGCTGGTGGTGACACTCTCTTGCTATCAGAGACATGTGGCGTCATCCCTTGGGGTCACAGGCATTTCTGAGGAGGAGGGGAGCTGGTAACATGCTGGTAAGAGGAGAAATCTGGTCACCTAGGTGGTCTGTAGAAGGTCCAAGCTGCCACCTGTCTTCTCCAGCTCAAAGTGGAGCCAGGCCACCCCTGTGGGGAGCCCGAGGGATCAACAGTGTGTCCCCTTCAGAGCCTGCCCTGCCTTCCTCCTGCTCCTTTCCTGGGGGCAGAGCCAGGAGGGAGGTTGTGAGGGTCCTGACCCGGCTCCAGCATCCAGCCTGGTGCTGGACCTGTCCAGCCCCACCAACACCACAGCCCGGTTCCACCACTAACCCAGCTGGGTACTCCCAGGTGAGCTCCAGCACTGACCCAGCCCAAGTCCAGCTCTAAAGGGAGGAGCGTGACCGCCAGGGTCATTGCTGTAGTGGTCTGATACCTGGGGTATCCCCGTCTGGGGCTGTGTAGGGCTGGCTGGTTGGTTTTGGTAGGGTTGTGCTCTTGAAGATGTGTGTCCTACAGGTGGGCTCCATGATGGGCTTCCCTGTGGTCCAACGCAGCAGATCCGCCACCACCCCACTGTGTGCTGGGGATGTGGGTGCAGGGGCAGTGGTGTGCACGTACACATGTGTCGAGGACCCAGAGCTACTCCTCCATCGCATGGGCATGGGAAGCAGTGGGGGTCTGTCCCAGCTGTGTTGTGCTTGGGTTTCAGAGGGGATTAAGTATGCGCTAAGGGCTTGGAGGGGCTTTCTAATGTGCTAGAGAAGGGTATGTCCTAGCTGTCTTACAGTCACGTCCCATAAGTACATGATGTTTTGAAGATAAGAGGCTGTTTATGGCTCCGTGCCTGTTTCGGGTCTGGGCCTCCACTGATAATGCTGGGCCCAGCCAATAAATTTTAAGGCCGTAGGGGTAATTAAGTTCTTACAGGAAGCATTCCTGGTTGAGCTGGAGCAGATACAGCCAATCGTGATGTAAATGTTTCCAGAGATGGAGAATTGCCTGTTAAACACTTCCAGCGGTTGCTCCTGCCTTCTTACCCCTGGCTGCGCCTGGCACTCGGACCTCGGTGAACTTTGTCCATCACCACACCTCAGCTCTCTGTGTGCCTGTTTAAGAGTAATCCTTGGCCCCAGGTCCTCTGGTAAGGTTTTCGACCAGATTTTTTGGCTCTTCTCAGCTCTTGGCACTGCTGTAGCCTTTCTATTGGCAGATCCACTGTCCCACGTGCAGGATGCTCATAGCTGAGTGCCAGAGGAGATGCTGAGATTTCCCTCTTCCTACCTCCCTCCTTTGCTTTAACCATTTTGGCAATGGCATTTCTCTGGGTGCTTTTGAAGGATCCTTGTCCTTCCTGGTGGGACTGGGAGCAGATAACCGCTGTGGCCTGTGTCCTTGTCCCTGGAGGTGTGATCAGATGTGTGTTTGCACTGAAATGCGCATTCCGTGCTTGTGCCCAGCTCACTGAGGCAACGGGATCACTGCATATCAGGAACCCATCATCTTCAGTATTTACCACACTACAGCTTCCATG